TAAACATTTAAATGTCAAATGGGAGACAGGCATTAGTGTGCACTGTATAGTTACATGGTTAGAGCCGGAGTGTTGGGAATCTGGAACATCTAACATCCTGCTGTAACACTGAAATGCCACATTAAAGCGCCTGTTTTCTTCTTTCAGCCTTTTTTTTTTTTTTTTTGTCTTTTGCCAGGGAGCAATTGAAAGTAATCTAATTCCTCATTTCCACGCAGCTCCACAGCTCAGTGATTCAGGTTCCTGTGCCAGGGGTGGTAGATCCCTGGTGCTGTTAGTTAGTAAGATCAGCTTTAGATTGGACGAAATGGAAGAGGACCCGGGGACACCTGGCCTTTTCTCTTTGGGCACTCACACATGTCATGGCTGTGCCTCTTGACAGAATCAGAATGCAGGATATTGCCCTCCCATTGATGTGCGTCCTGAAACTCCTCCGCCTGTGGAGTGTATCCAACTGCTCCTCCAGGATATCTGGTTGCAGTAGTCTATGCTTTTATATGACAGAATCTTAGCTGTTAGAACAAATGGGGAACCTACAGATTTTAAGCATGCAGACAAATAGGGAGCTTTCTTGTCCTTTGCAGCAAAATATCACCATATTAAGAATGACTGCAAACAAAGTCATATAAAAGAGAAAGGAGTCCTCTAGTCAGAAACCATAAAAACCTTTACACAGAAAGTCAAATTCAAAGAAATCTCTCTCCTCGTCTCCTTCCACCTCTCTCTGTCTCTCTCAATGTTTCGCAAGATATTTGTTTCACGATGGGCTGAACATTTGAGTGGTTTTTGAACTTGCCGGTGCTTTTGTTTTATGTACAGAAAAGTTAGAGCACCAGCTCTTTGAAGCCCTTTCAAATTTATTGTTGTTTTTCCAGGAGAGCTACTTTTTCTTTTTTTTAATACAGCTCATTGTGAGTGGATCTGCTCTTTTGCTGTTTTTGGAGAGGGCTTATATTTTATGTCTGGGGAAATAAAAGCATTACCCTGTCTGTCGGATAAAGAGAACATACTTGCCTTCAAAGATGAGGCCACTTAAGTTAGTACCTTATTAGAAATTGCCACTGAGCCAAGAAAAGAAAAAGACAAAAAAAAACAGGCGATTTGCCGGCATCGCAGAGCCCTACAGTATCAAACATCACTGCACACCCGACAGTTTGAGCTTCTCTGCAGTCTTACAGAACACGTTCAGAAACAGGTGTCAAAGAAACACATTTTTAAAAGCAAAGCTTGCAGTTTTGGATTTGCTTGAAGTGAAATGCTGCTATAAATACACCACGAAGGATATGTAACAGCATATGAAAACATTTCAAGTTGTCTTTTTCATATATTTTTTGGCTTTATTGGACAGATACAGTGAAGACAAGAAGGCAGACGGAAAGAGAGAGAGGGAGACATGCGCCAAAGGGCCGTGGGTCGGATTCAAACCCAGGCCGGCCGCTCTCAGCCATGCAGCATACGATTGCCTGCTCATCCAGCTGAGCTAAACCTGCACCCTGCTTTTTGTTTTTTTAATATGTGACAACAATAAAGACTACAATATGTATTTAATCTATTTTATTTTAGGAGTGTATCATGATTTATCTGTACCTATAAACAGTAACCGCCAGCAGTAACTGTCCTGAGTTGGGATTTCAAGTTTTTTCACCTTTAGGACCCCCATTTATGTGAGCACTTGTACTTTAACATTTGCAGTCTGCAAAATGAAGCAGCACTAGCACTCCTCAACTGATCGAGTCAGATTGTTGATGCCCAGTTCCAATCTAACACCCTTTTTTTTTTACAGCTTTAAGCTGACAAGCATTATTCTCACACTTACACTAGAACTAGTTACACTAGTCAATCACAGAGTTTTACTACTGTGTGATTCTTCTTCTTGGGGTGCTCTTTTAAATCATGTGACTAAAATTAATGTTGTTGCCAGCATGCTGTGTTACAGCAGCCTGATAAAGAATAAAAATAGAACCGTCTACAATAAACAACACATTTAAAATAAAAGTGCCACACACCTGGTAAAGGCCTTATACAATGAATATAAAATTAAAATGTATGAAATTTTATGCAACTCTATCTATAAGTTAGTCACTTACTAAGACTCACTCCGCAGAAAAAACTACCTGGGCGTCAGTGTAATACCAAGATAGATCTCCCTACTTTGAACCTGTATCAAGGGATTACTGCCCAAGTTTGCACAACATGGCAGACAGGAAGCTGTTAAAGACAGGGACCAACACTGCATCCTGACCTCTAACCCTTAGATCCTGACCTCTCCTGCAATCTGACATGATCCCTTGTCTACATGAAAGCTGTCCTGTTGACTCACCAGGGCTAATTTAGAGTTCCGGTGCCCCTGACCACTGTGAGGACAGACAGTCGACACGCTGGCCTCTGGAGGAAACTTTAGACGGACTATTTTGACCCAACACAAACACACACACACAAAAAAAAGCTAACGTACGCTTGATTTTTCGTTACGCTGTCCTCTCTCAATTTTGAGCTTTTTGAGAGCCAGGCGCATGTGAAGAAGCGCGATGCTAACACCGTCAGTTCGACGGTCTGTTATTCGTCTTTGTTTTAATTTGGACGTCAGAGTCGGGCAGCGGTTCACCAGTTTTGCCCACATTTTTGGTGTTATTGTAGCGAATATTAGCCCTTTGCCAAGGGCTTCACATGTCAGCTGATGAAGTCTTTTAACAAGTCTAACAAAGGCCAACCTCACACTGTGCCACCTGCCACCAGCTAAAGAGATTTTGGTCATTACTTGGCTTCTTTTTAAATATCATCAAACATCGGCCCTTTCATCATTCCAAGTGCGTGACCTTCAGGTTTACTGCTTCTCTAAGCATGACTGACACATATTGTGAAGCTCAGTTCTGGAGTATTTTTATATCACCACTTTTGATGGGACCTAAAAATAGAGTTCTCTGCTGACCTCTGCTCCTCAGCAGCTCATTTGGGGTATGAGTCCACCTCCCGCACGTCACCTCAAACGAACTGCTTCTTTATTTTTAGATGCTCCCAAAATTAATTAAATGGTCTTGTTTCGCTGAGTTTGTGCAGTGTTATGTAAGGGGATTACTTTGTTGTTATTTCATATCCAGAGACCAAATAGGCCACCACACAGAGGAGGGAGGTGGACACAGACAGTAAAGGACTTAGGGTGGAAGAGGAGGGTAATGTAGTTAAGGTAGTAGCACAGGGCTCCAGAAATAACCCTGCCGCTGGCCTAATTGTACATCTCTCTTGCTCCCTATTCCCTGTCCAGCTGCGTGCCAAGGTCTTTGACCTCATCATCCACCTCACTGGTTCCGGAAGAATCCTTTCCGTCCCCTAGGGCCCCTGTGGCTACCAAAGCTCCAGCCGATACACGGAGCACAGCAGCAAACCATCTTCTGCCTCAGACTAACAGCCAAGCGCCACAACCATTTAGGAGTGATCCCAGCAGAGCGCCCAAGTGGCTCAACCCGCCAGGTATGTTCTTATCATCCCCAGCATGGGCCCGTGGCCGCTTAGCGGGGCCCGGGGCCTCCCAGAAACCCACATGTCACAGCAGTATGTACAGTCAGCAGAGCTGCTGCCTCAAAACACACGTGAGTTTCCTGTAAAACGCACACGCAGTAATCGTCTGCTACCATATTTTGTCTTTTTCAGACAGCACCATAAACACTGGTAACTTTTCACGAGTGTGAGAGTTACCCATGGGGTATCTGAAAGGAATGCTCCCACTCTGTCCTCTGAAGCATTCCTCCATGGTTAGGCAGTTTCATGCCCACGAGGGGGCCACAAGGGCCTCTTGTCTCCTAATTTATCACAGCCTCCGATGAAGCACAACATCCATGCAAGCACATACAATAAACGAACGCACAGACATCTAGGAACAGACGCCATGCGTCACATGTTTATTTATGCAAGTGCCTGCCAACATGCATAGATTAAATAAAATGGCAACAGGCAGATAACACCTGTCGCCACATTTGGATTATGATTCTCGACTTTCAGAATGGCTTTTTTCAGAACTAAATGTTTAAAGAAGCTGAAGGTCTGCTGCCTGAAAAGGGTTCAGACTTGCAGCATTAGTAATGGCAATGTTCTACTTGGCACTTTAAATGGTTTTAAACACATAATCATGGTAAAGTTGAATATTTTATGGGCCATGTAAGCCCTTGACTTTGATGTAAGCTCATACTCTTTGACTGGTTGAATGTTGCCATCGCAAAAAAGCCAGCAATCAGGGAGAAAAGGGCGTATTATGATGACATGTCACAGCCTTTTGCTTTGGGCCTCAGAGGAAAGGAGCTTTGAGATGTCAGAAATTTGGAGACAGAGACGCTGTGTCACTCTAACAGAAGAAAAACACCACCAAGTTGTAAACGGAGAATTAAGGAGAAAAATCTGACATAATCCTGACATACTCTCGCAGGGACACTTAAGACAAATGCAGACAACTCCACCCCAGACAAACATTACCATGAACCACAAACTTATCAGAGCTATGTAAACATCCAGCTCTCTTTAAAGTAGACAGCCACATAGATCAGGCATTCCTAGAATGGCAATAACCTCAGTTATTTTAATCATAATGGGTCAGTTTTGTCATTGACAGTCCCACTGATTATTAATTAATTTGCCAAATGTAACAAAAAAGATGAAGATCCATCATGGCAGTCACAGGTGCTTCTACTGACATTGACTGTGGATGTATTTAAGCCATGCCGAGTGCCCGATCCCACGTGCGGCGCTGTCCAAAGACCAGGCAGGAGCTGGAGACAGATCAGTCTCCGTCTCCTGGGAAAAGCTTCTCACTGCGGAGCTTCTCCAAAGCGTCTGGACTGGCTGTCGACACTCCCTGCCTTTAATGTATGATCAAGAAAAGCTTTAACTGATTACTCTCTACAATGCCCCTCCCCATTCTTGTCCTAACTGCTTTCGTATGTTTAATAATACCGACTTCAGATGAATTTGTTCCACTAACACGCATAAGGAGGGGAGGGAAAAAAAACCAGTGACAGATCCAAGATAATAATCTTTTTTATTTTGTGCACAAGAATCAACTGTTGGGAAAGATCCATTTCAATTTGAGTTAATCTCCACAAAGGCTACGCACAAAACGAAACCCTTTACAATTTTTTTTCTTCCTCTGGTGATGACTTAAGCTGTGCTCAAGTTTTTTTTCTTTTTTTACAAGAAAGTGTGGTCTGGAAGTTACCCCTGGGAAACACAAATCCAGCGTGAGCCTTACTAAAAAGATGCTGGGTCAAATTCCAGGTGTCGTGTCCTTGAACACCTATTCAGGGCTGGATTCTTGGTTTTAGCCTAAGTTGGTTCCAGCTGTAAACGTGAGTAGCATTCGTAAGTCACCCAAGAGCCCCACAAATAAGTACTGCGAGGTGTTGCACAGCGATGCTGACTCACAGCGAGGACGCGTTGGTCAAACACACCGCTAGTGGAAAACCATCAGAGCCGCTCAGGTTAGAAAACCCCACATTACCCTCTTCCTTGTAGGCCCAGCTTCACCCCCCGCCCACTCCCTCCCTGTGCTGTGATGAAAGTAGAGAGAGCACCTCCACTACTCGCCTCTTTTGTTTATTTACCTTCAGAATTACAGCCTGCTCTTCTTGGACCATGTTCCAATGTGTTTTGTTATGTTTTCCTTCAAATAGAATATCTACGCGTGTGGTCTCTGGCCGTGTTTGGCTAACACACGCACACATACGTGCATACACACTCCCATTCAACTTTCCCCCTGTGCCAGAGGTCCCCTTTGCCCTCCCCCCCTCCTCTAACTAAACATCGCAGGACAGCAAAAGGGAACTTCAAAGTGGCCGGAGGGGGTACTCCTTTTTTCCTGGCACTTGTCATCATCTAAGGGACTGGCTGCTCCCCTTATTACTCTAATTGCTTCCAACTGCTCCTGGAGGCTTTGATGAAGGGCGCCACGGAGCATGCTGGAAGCACCTGTTGTTGCACACAGGAGCACAGGTGGCCCTTATTGGTGGTGGCGTGGTAGCGTGCGGATTGCAATGGGGCTTCCTGCTAAAATCGTGCAGCTCAAAATAAAAACATAATTTCAACGTTATCTCAGATTTGGGGATTTATGAAACTGCAGTCATACTAAAAAATGAAAAGTTTTAGCTGGTGGAACTGTGGAAGGGGGGACTGTTGATCGAGAGACATCTCAGCAGCACTCTGGCTCCATCTTGTGGTATCACTGTGCTAGAAGTCCAGAAGCTGTGTTGGAGAAAATTGAAGAAATTTGAGATTGTCAGACAGCAGACATAAAAGTCTTTTGCAGAAAGGTTAAATACATTTGAGATTAATGATAGCTCTCATAGCATCTACACATTTAAGGTTTTCGTTTACGTATCCCCAGAAAAAATTTGCATTACCACTCCATTTCAAATCATCACATTTTCTACTCAACCATCTCCAATGTGCCTAAAAGTGTGAACATATATAATGAGTGCTGCAACATTTCAGCTTCATATATCAAATATCTTTCCGGATTTTTTTCTTTTCTAAAAGGCCATTCCACCTACTTTCAGGCCTTTTTTTAATGGATTAAAATCAGAAGCAGTCATTGAGCATAAAGACCTCAAAACCTATTAAAGATAAAAGCTAGAATTTTTCACCGCCTTCTTTAACCATCAAAACAAAGCAGGATCTGTAATTTGGGACTGATACATGAAGAAAATCTCAGCGTATTTGGCTGTTAAAACATCAACAAAAAAATCAAGCTCTCCTATAAAGTTCCATATTTGAGCACACGCTAATAACAAATGCACATTGCAAAAGATTAGTATATAAATGTTTTTATCAATACTGCAAAAACACTTTATAACCTTCTACGTCTTAAAAATGGCATTTGATAAAAAAGCGAGTTTGGATTGAGAAAAATAAGTTAAAAACATCAGCAGATAGTCTGCTCTGAACAGAACACAGTTTTGTAATTTACAGATGGTACAGAGATTAGATTAGAAAATGATTTGTCAAATATGTGCATATCTTTCATTTTCAAGGCCTACTCTAGCTACTGTTTCAAGACTTGCTACCCTGGAAGAGTTTTATAATTCAGTTTAATTACAAGACACCAAGTTTAAAATATACTTAGAGTTACTGAAAGCTAAACAATGTAGGATTTTCATATATATTACAATTCTTGTAGCATTCATTCTGGTAGTCAGTACCAGAATACTACCCATGTGACATGAGCTACTAATCCCTTTTTAATTAATCTTAATTGTTTTACTATAAATACTTACGAATGATATTACAATACTTGTTGAGCTTTTCATAACTTAGTGTATTTTAAACTCCAGGGCAAAGTGCATGCTTACAAAGTTATTTTCTCAGTTATAATTAGATTACCATCTGGAAATTACAGAATGTGCTTGCATTCGGATGAGGCCATTTACTGATATTTTTGTTTTTGTTGTACAATATTGCCATATTGGATCATTACAGCATGAAAGTTGAATGAAAACAGCAACTAAAAATTGTATGTTAAAAAGTACTCTAAATACTGTGCTTTGCATCACTGTGAAATATGCCTAAATACCAGTCAGACATAGTCACTAGCTGTCTATTGCAGTGTCTACTGCCTTAGATTTCAAAGTGAGAAACAAAAAGCATGAAGGAAGTGAGTAGATGGATCATTTAAATATAGATAATGTTAGATAGTTCAGCAGAAGACCCATGATGATTTTGATTTGTAGAAGCTGTTCCCAAACCATACACAAAGTGCAAAAGCTAATGCAACAAATATATTTTACTGCAAAGAAAAATAAAAACTTGCCCAGTAATCCCATTATTTTTAAGTATTAGCTGTAATCTGGGCTAAAGATAAGACTATGCAAACAAGCGGAAATAAGTCAAACGAAAACATTTCTTGAGCCTGTTGAGCCACATACCAGCTGAGGCAGGATCTTTTCAAAATGTTCAATGTCTACTTGGTCACAGTCCTCAGATTCGGCTTGTTTCTGTGATCTCACAGCAGCCTCTGAAAAAGGAGATAACACCTTCAGAGTGTTATCATTAGCCAGTCTGTTATTTTGTCTCAAATGTTGTGCAACTGTGTCAAAGCTCCTTACCTTGCACGAACACTTTAAGCATCTCTACCATGAGCAGTGTGGCATCTCCGCTTACTGCAACACAGTGGCATTTCATCAGCACAGTCACAAAGAGCGCAAGACGTCACTGATAACAGCATAGTTATCCCACTCACGTTTTGTTTTGTCTTCTTTGAAGAAACTAGACAAAAGTTTGCTTACTGTATCCTGTGTGCAGAACAGAGCACATAAAGTGGGAGAGTGTATTAGTCATAAGGTTTTCCACTGAGTAGCAGGCCAAAGAAAGTACACTCAACAAAAATATAAATGCAACACCTTTGTTACTGCTCCCATTCCCCATGGGATGGACGTAGAGACCTAAAATTCATTCCAGATACACAATATAACCATCCCTCCCAAACAGTGGTCACAAATCAGTCCAAATGTGTGGTAGTGGGCACATCTGCCATATTGAGATAATCCATCCCACCTCACAGGTGTGCCACATCAGGATGCTGATCTGACATCATGAGTAGTGCACAGGTGTACCTCAGACTGCCCACAACAAAAGGCCACCCTGGAATGTGCAGTTTTGTCTCACAGCAAAATGCCACAGATGCCACAAGCAATGAGGGAGCGTGCAATTGGCATGCTGACAGCAGGAATGTCAACCAGATCTGTCGCCCGTGCATTGAATGTTCATTTCTCAACCATAAGCCGTCTCCACAGGCGTTTCAGAGAATATGGCAGCACATCCAACCGGCCTCACAACCGCAGACCTCGTGTAACCACACCAGCCCAGGACCTCCACATCCAGCAGGTTCACCTCCAAGATCGTCTGAGACCAGCCACCCAGACAGCTGCTGGAACAATTGGTTTGCACAACCAAACAATTTCTGCACAAACTGTCAGAAACCGTCTCAGGGACGCTCAACTGCATGCCCGTCGTCCTCATCGGGGTCTTGACCTGACTCCAGCTCGTCGCCGTAACAGACTTGTGTGGGCAAATGCTCACATTCGATGGCGTCTGGCACGTTGGAGAGGTGTGCGCTTCACGGATGAATCATGGTTCACATTGTTCAGGGCAGATGGCAGCTGAGAATGTCCCAGTTCTTGCATGGCCAGCATACTCACCGGACATGTCACCCATTGAGCATGTTCGGGATGTGCTTGACCGGCGTATACGACAGCGTGTACCAGTTCCCACGAATATCCAACAACCTCGCACAGCCATTGAAGTGGAGTGGACCAACATTCCACAGGCCACAATTGACAATCTGATAGACTCCATGCGACGATGTGTTGCACTGCATGAGGCAAATGGTGGTCACACCAGATACTGACCGGTTCTGGGTCCCCAGACCCCCAATAGCGCAAAAAACTGCACATTCCAGGGTGGCCTTTTGTTGTGGGCAGTCTGAGGTACACCTGTGCACTACTCATGATGTCAGATCAGCATCCTGATGTGGCACACCTGTGAGGTGGGATGGATTATCTCAATATAGCAGATGTGCCCACTACCACACATTTGGACTGATTTGTGACCACTGTTTGGGAGGGATGGTTATATTGTGTATCTGGAATGAATTTTAGGTCTCTACGTCCATCCCATGGGGAATGGGAGCAGTAACAAAGGTGTTGCGTTTATATTTTTGTTGAGTGTATTAGTAAAGCACTAACAAAGCAAAACAGACACGATTTAGTAAAAATAACAAATGAACGCAACACAGACACAACAAAACCTGCCTGCGTATCCACTTTTGAAAAAACCCGTATTTGGCTTTCAAGCTAAGTTTGTCCGTCGAATTCCTTCTCGAGTTTTCGCCAACCAAACGTCTTTGGTGAATTTGGCGATTTAAAGGGCTCTCCGCTATCCGCGCAAAAAACGGAAGTTGTCCTGGAAAGTGTGGTCTTAAAGCAATCGCTAGGACCCAGTCTTTGATTCGGCGTGGTAGTTACAATGTTATTCCCCGCAATATCTGAATATCTTAACAAGATGTAAAGTGTTAGCTGTCGTCTGACAAAACATGTTGTGTTTATATGGTGGGCGTGGAAACACACAAGTCGGCGACAAAGAAGTTCGCTTTTTTATTAAAACACGAGGGGGGACAAGCAGGCATAAACACTTAAAAACAAACGGCTGACTGCTCCTACCTTTTTAAAGGAAATTTCTACGTCCTTTTCCGCCATGTTGTTTTTACGCTGTAGAAGAAACTTGGCGCTCTACGTAGCGATTGGCTGTTGACCCGTGACGCAAAACTCATGTAGACGGTACAGTACACAGGACTTTTACAGGAAAGATTTGAAAATTTTCTTTATTTTATTTATATATATATATATATATATATATATATACATACATATATATACATACATACATACATATATATACATACATAAATATATATACATAAATATATACATATATATATATATACATAAACACACATATATATATAATATATATATATATATTAGATGTATTTATAAATATTTTTTCTTGCTATATATAATACACAACAAAATAATATATACTAATACATAAACGAACAAAAATACTTTGGTTTTCGCAAATAGTATTTCAAATAAAACATTTACCATAGGAGGAAAAACAGAAAAACAGCAACACAGAAGAGCACAAATCCTTTGACTTCTTTGTATTTATTCCTGAGCAAAGAAAACAAACAATAACTAATATTTTCTTACAACTTCACAATTTTGTCTTGTTACCATAAAGTCAACAATCATGTCACATTCACCAACAGTGGCTGGACAAAGGAATACATGACTAACTTCACTTATAGTGTGACATCTGTAGGTCCTTTACAAACATTTAACTAAAATGTCATAAACAAAATACATTTACAAAATATACAATAAACAAAAAAATATTGTTTAGCCAGAAATTCACAGTTATGGGTAAGTAAGTAAAACTTATTAGTAAAACTAAGAGAAATACATACATAAATACGTGTGCATTAGGTTGTATGTTCTCATGTATGGTACTGACATAACAACCAATGCCCTCAAGCTGGTCAACTTTGGATCAAAGCTTTGTTTATTCATTCATCTTCGTCTAACCACTGAGCATCTTCGAGTAGGTAGCCAAGACCCATTGAAGGCCGTGGTCGAGGTTTAACTGTGGCTCCATCAACCCCTTGCTCTGAATCTTCCTCACCCTGCAAGACATTTTAAAAAAAATATTATTTAATTATGATAGGCTGTGATTGGAAAAGTCCCTAACATAAAGTAGTTGTCATTTGCTCACCTTGAAAGTAACAAAGCGCCTCACTTTAACTTGTGTTCCACCAATATTGTGAGGACCGACCCAGTCTGCCATGTCTGCTTCTTCCTCACAAGAAAACTTCACAAAGGCCAATGATTTTTGTTTCCCAGAGTTGGGATTCTTCCTAATCTAAGATCCAGTATAAAACAGAAAGTATTTATCACAGGTCTCTTGTAGGGAAAAAAAAGCAAACCAATAGTTTTTTTCTTCAGTCTTTACTTTGCATGATTTGATGGTGCCCCATTCTCGGAAGTAAGCTTGTATATATCCTTCATTTATATAGGGATTCAGATCTTCTACAAGCAGTCCATGTTCCTGTTAAATAGCAGAAATTCAAGAGCTTCATGAAACATTTAAACATAAAAAGATAAAAGGAAATAAAATGATAGCTTTGCTCAAAGATATGGGAATGAGAAAAGTTGTTTACAAGTTCATATTGCTCGGCCAAAAGATCTATGAGTTTTTTCGGAATACAGATGTACGGCCTTTTGTTAGGCGCTGTCTTCATGCCGCCTGGGGGAAAGATGAGCAAGAAAATTATAACATAGAAGGGTGATGCATCTAAATTACACAATTTGTAATTTCATTTTCTTTAAAGATGAGACATGAAATCAAGAAAGCCCTTACTTACCAGAAGTCATTGTTGAGAGTCGGATGTGAGACAACCCTGCACTTCAGATTAGACCGAGGTAAGGAATGAAATAACCTGCTGCAAAGTGGGTTAATATGTAAGGTAGGAAAACTCCTCCCACTTTCATTCTTGTGTTTTCATGAAGGAAAGTCAGGAAGAATTTTTGAATAACTGTTCAGAGTTACCTAACTTGTTTAGCAGCTAGGGGGAAACTGTATGGTGGCTAGGGACGGCTGGCATTACTGAAAACTTGTTAATGTAGCAATGTGCTAGTTAACTTACTGTATTTGGACATGGTGGTACGCAGGAGCAAGTTGTCATATTTTTAGACCGTTGGTTCATCCAGCTGGACTTTTCTCATTGAAACAGTAAAAAAAATGTAAATAAAATAATTATAATATTTTTATTTCTTTTGATGAAACATATTCCTTCAGATTTGGCAAATGTTCTTCAATTGTTCACTTGAACTCAAGGATGAACTGACTAGAACTTGGTGGTCTATACCATGAATATTACTCAGTTTGTTTGTACTGGAAAAGAAGAACAACAAAAAGATCAAAGAACAACTTGAAGTCAGCTCAGGTAATTTTTTACTCACATAACCATTATGTGTTCTCAAAAGGTTTTACAGTCAGGCAAAAGTCGTTCTTCACTGACAACATATCCAACTCCTCTTTACTTTTTCTTTCGCACTTCTGCATATTTTACCGGTTAAACAATGTCACGTGGAATGCGTTCTTAAGAAATCCATTGTGAAGGTATTCATGATGACTGATTTTAAAGAATCTTGGGTTGTGTGTTGTGTGCTAAGGTCTCCATATCCGGATATGTAAAATAAAGATCATTTTTTAAAGTAAAAAGACCACTTTTGAGCCGTGTCTTTTTGGCCGTAAAGAATCCGAAAGAACCGGAATTTAACACTTGCCATCAGATAAAAGAAACAACAGGGACAAAAACAAAGAAGAAATTTTATTTTGTCTTGTCATAAAATACATTGAAGATCATTGTACACTGTGATAATAAAAGCCTATAAATAAATATTAATAACCCTGCTGAGGTGCCAACTGTCAGTGATTCAGTTTTCAGAGATGACCAAGATTAACATATATTTAAAAAAAGCAAACTTCACGGTTACTGGTTTTACTTTTATTTTGTTCATGTTTGTAGCATGTTTTAGACGTTCCTGTTTATCTGGACAATCAACTCAGCTTTGAGATAATATCGAAGCCAAAATACTTCTCAGTGAGCCAAACTGCTGCGTAGTGAGAGATGTGTAGTGAGAGAGTGCACTTTGTTCACAGTGTTCAGCCAGAGACTGGGGAAGAAAAGAAAGTTCATCTTTTGACTTGAAATACCAGGGCAAAGCAAAAAAAACCTAAACAAAACAAAAATTATGTAGCCTCAGTGAAGAGCTGCAGTATTGAGAATACTCACCCTTGAGGGGAAGTGGGATGATTATTTGCATAAATCCTGTAATTTGGCGATGAGGAACTTTTTGTCTTTACCCTCCTGTGAACAGCATTAAAACAAAACACAATGCATTGATATTAATAATGACAAAAAATTGATTTCAGCAGTTATTAAAAAAATAAATTGATTCAATAAATTAAAAACTGTAATAAAATACTAACTGAGCTAACCAGATGAGCTGAGAAAGGCTGTTTCAAAGTTTTAGAGCTACTGCGTGAAAAGCGTGGTCACCTCTGGTTATAAATAGTGTGGAACTATAAACCGATGATCAGAGAAGCTGACTGCTGTTATAAGCTCTGCTATGTAGGCAGGAGCCTACCCATGTCGGGTCTTTTTGATAGGTTTATGTTTGTGGCTAGCTTGATGTTGGTTGTTAACTCTGACTGATCTGTCCTGTTCTCAACCAAACACTAGATAGTGAAAGTTATATGTTATGTTTCTTATCTTATCTTGTGCTTTTGGTGACTGTTAACAGGGCTGAGTATGGCAGCTGTTGCTTCTGACTTAAGTTTCTGAAGGAAGCTTCATGGACGGAATTGTATTTGTGTAGAAAAGAAGATTTGTCGTCCATAGCATAACACTTTGAATTAAATGTGAGCAAGCAAATGCTTATGAGAGATCTGAGAAATGTGGTCTCAAACAAACTTTTGGGCTCGGTTCATCTTGTCCTCCAGTTTTACCTAATAGATCTACACAAGCAAAATTTGCTCTGCCAGTGGATGATGGGGAATTGGCTGCTATCGAGACACACCCAAAATTGCAAAAAATAACCACTTGACCTAGCTCAATTAGTTCTTTTCACTTCCTGGAATAAAGGAAGAAGCATTTCTCAAGGAATGTTTAGCAGGATTACAGTTGGAGGCTCAGGATAAAGCCCAAACCATCAGCCAGAGTTTGAACTTTGGAAGTTGGAGCCGGGGTGGGGTTAATTAAAACAATTCAAACCCAGAGCCTGATCCATGTTTTGAACAATTTATCTTTCAGGGATCTTTGTCTTTAACAAGCAAACCAGAGGTTGAGCAAACTATAAAAGTCCTGAGGGATACTGGTAGATCTCGGTCACTGATAGTCACTGATTTGTTGCCCTTGAGTGAGTCAGCTCCTCTAATCATAAAGGCTTTTTTACCATCTTTGGCCTCCCAAAGTCCAAAGTAGTTCAGACAGACAAAGGCATAAATTTTCTATCAAAACACACTCAAAAAGATGAAATTGTGTGGTTGTTACATGTACAACTTGTAATTTGAACTAAATAATTTCATGTTTCTATGGTGAACATAATTAAATCATGTAGCATCTGCATGAAATTCAGCAACTTAATTTGTTCTTGTTGAGATGACATGATACAATCTAGTAAGAGTGGTTCGTTGCCTGGACTCACGAAAATCACATTAGATGTCAAACTGCAGGAAAATCGCTGGAGTTTTAAGAGGCAGACAACTACACCCACACCACGTGTATGCTATTGCTATTTATTGCGGTTTAACCTGTCAAGGACAAAAACGTACAGAAAATGCTGCATCAAGCCTTGTAACCATAGCTTTCCTAGTTTGTTAAGCCTGGGTTGACAGCTTGGTGGTGTGATGGTTAATGCTGTTACCTCACAGCAAGAAGGACCTGGGTTCAAATCCACAATCTGGCTAGTTTGCTGTGTGTAATTAGAGTTAGGTTAACTGGTGATTCTGCATTACCCATAAATCTAAGTGTAAATGGTTGTTTTTCTCTATAAAATCATCAACCCCTGTATTGGTTCATTACGCAAGACTAGCAGTAATTGCCTTGCTTAACAAAGTAGTTATTCAAGCAACAAGATTTCTTTGCATTTTCCTTAACTTGTGTAGAATGAATTAAAACAGATTTCATACTTAAATAAATCACTTCAACTCAATGTAAGTATACTACGTTGATCCAATGTAATCTGATTACATTAAACCACCAAATGCCAAATGTGTTGGTTTGACATGATCAAAAATTGGTTATTGTACTTGGTTAAATCACGTGGAAATAGGTGCCATGATTAAATTGTGTTCATCCAACAACAGATTCTTTTGAGTGCTCTTTAACTAGGTCATGCAGACTCTTAGTAGTTAAACATGTGGTCTCTAGTGCCTGTCATCCTGAGTCCTAGGGAGCTCTGGAAAGGTGGCACCAGACTATTAAATCTATGCTTCAGAAGTGCTGTTTGGCTACTGGTAATGACTGGGATGAAGGAGTTCCACTAATGGTGTGTGCAATACGGGAAGCTAAACAAGGATCCCTGTGTCTTAGCCCAGCTGAAGTTGTTTTTGGTTATTCAGTGCAGGGGTCTTTTAAAACTATTTAAATAACAACTTCTGCACAATCCAATAAAACTAATGTTTTGGACTATGTTTCACAGATCTTTGAACGCTTGTAGCAAGCCCTTTCAGTAGCACTGGAAGCTCTTTTGTCTGTTCAGATCACCATGAAGCGGCATTATAAAAAGCACATGAAAAGTCAGCTACAATGATCAAGACAGAAAAAGAATTAAAGCGTGTATTAAATGTCCAAATGATTGGGTGTCAGTAAAACGGGAGGAAGAGAGAGTGGAAATGTGGAGGCATGCATTGGAGAGAAGAGAAAGGAAAGTCAGTACAAGTAAGACAGAGTATATGTGTATGAATGAGACGGAAGCAGGTGGAAAGGTGAAGATGAGGGGAGTAGAAGTACTGAAGATGGATGAGTTTAAATACCTGGGTCAACCATCCAAAGCAAAGGACAGTATAAAAGGGAGGTGAAGAAGTGACCGTATAGGCTGTAAGCTTTAGAGATGATGTCACAGACAAAAAGACAGGAGGAAGAAGTGAAAACTAGGAGGGAAGAGACGAAAGAAGAATTTTAACATAACCATATATACTCAGATGATGAATTCAAACTAGGATGCTGAATTTGTTTTTGTCATTTCTGTCTCTCAACTCAGAAGGAATTTTCACATCTTTAGCGATGCCTTTTTTTTCTCCGCTGCCATCATCAGGGGAAATGCTAAAAGCAGTTCAAATGCTACTTGTACATTTTAAAAGTACGCCATCAGTGTCAGCCTTAACATGGTGCGAGTGTTAGCGCTTAAACTCAGAAATGCCGCTAACATAGACAAACTTATGCATACATTTTCAATCTGCTTTTCTAACCGGCTGATGATTTTCCTCTGGCCATCAACAACTTGAGCCTGAAAGTATATCACCATTCTGCAAAAACAAAAGCAAAAATAGCAATGGATCATTTCAAAATTTTAAGAGCGTAAAACCATTTCTGTAAGTCACGAACGTTAAATGTTTCAATGGAGGAGATGCTTGCTGCTACGAATTGCTACCAACAAACAACGCTGACTTGCTAATTAATGAAATGAAATACATAGCAGAAACAGGAGCGTAATCATTACCACTCACAGAAAGACTCCACTGGCGAGGAATAGAAACACTGGATTCTCTACCAAACAGTCGTAGACCCAGCTGAGCCACTTCAGGATTGGATGAGCATCCTCCAGGTGCCTGGTCGACATCTGCCCTCCCTCAAACATTGTTGTGAGATTCCTGAAAGGGCCGCACTTTTCCGAGGGTTTGATTCTGTGCATGACAGGCAGATGCATTTAAGGAGATACAGTAAAGAGTGTATATATATATATATATCGTATTTTTTTAGCCTGATCCTTTATGTCTCGTGTTTTTTTGTTTACTCTGATCTGAATCAGTTGATGAGTTTGTAAACTCATTGTCTTTTCCTGTAGTTTTGAATTCGCAGAGAGAAAACTCCAAGTGAACTCAAGATGAATCACGTGGGAACCTTCAGCCTGCTTATCTACCAGATGTCTCTTGTCCTACTCTTATTTCCTGTTTTTGTTTTCTTCCTGTGTGATTGCAGCTCAGTGTTGATTCAGTACAGCAGGTCTGAAGGCAAAAGAGTGTCCAGCCTGTTACTTCACAGTAGCAAGTGAATATAGAAAGATTTGAATACATAGATTGTAATCGTTAAGTTGAAACTATTGGTTTTGGTCTTTCTTGAGAAAATGTCATTTCCAGGCCATTTACCTTCAGGGTAAAAATATTCCAGTTGTAGTTTTAGTTTGTACTTAAGAGATTGTTGTTTTACTTAAGGTTTGTTTTTAGCGAGCTGCGTGTTTGTGGTTTTGAAATGCTCACAAGCATTTTCACGCTATAAGCATGAAAATGCTTACGTGCATTCCAAGAAGATTGTTATACTTACGTCCATACTGTATAAATGATAGTCACGACAGTGCCAAGAAATGAGGGGAACCACAGTATGCAAATGAACAGCGTTGTCATTTGAGTGGCCCTCCAGGGCTTTCTTGAGGCCTGACAGTTGAGAATGAGACTTCTCTGGAAAACAAAGAGGAAGAATCATGTTTGCAATGCAGTCTTGGCATACGGTACTACAGCCCCCACTGCATACACACTCTACCAACCTTCTTCATGTAAAACAACACAATCAGTTTTATTAGTTGGACTCCAGGAAGAAGTGGTGCAAACAGAACTCCGATCCTACAAGAAGAAATGCAACACATGACCACTGATTTTCCTTTTTAACGCTGATATTAAAGCTGTGTTTTTACTGAATAATCACCATGTAAGAGTTTGCCCATATATGAGCTCCAACACGTTACGAGCAATGTCGAACACTGGCTTTCTTTTCTTTTGCAGGATTGTCTGGGAAAAGACCCTAGAGGGGAAGAATTAGGTTTTGGCTTAAAACAGAAGTAAAACCAATCACCCGATCTTGCTCTAACTGGTAAACTTGCCTCCATAGGAACTCTCCCAAAAAAGTGTAAAGCACCGTAACGATGAAGTCCATCACAAGGAGCCGGTACAGTTCTTGGCCAACTGAACTCTCCCAACACTGAAAAAATGTAAAAATGTGGATGTTAAATGCTTTCAGATTCCAAAACTGTAGCTATAATATCGCATGTGTTAAACATCTGCGTGCAAAAAGCTTTCTTTAAGGAATAAAAACGATTGCATACAGTAACTGAGTGCTGAATCATGTAAGAGCGTGAGGATGTTACTAACCTCCAGACCATTGGCTGGAATGCTCTCCAGCCAGCGATAACATAGAACTCCAATAACACTGACCTTCAACAGCAGGTTCCTGAAAAATAAATGATCAAATACTTTATTATAAATATTTAAACTTTATAAAAATCAAATCACATAACAAAGACAATAATTTTACATCGTGTTGAACTATGTTATTCATTTGAAAACTTCTTTTGCGTGTTTTCCTTTTTTTTTTTCCTTACCTGAAGACAGAGACATAGACACGTGTGCCAGGTGATTCATATTGCTCTGCCCAAACGCACAAGTTGAAGAAGCCAGGGAGTAACAGGTTCATGCCCGACACCACTGCTGACAAGACCAGCAACTCAGTGTCTTTGGGCAGATTTAAAGTGGTCTAAATCACAATGAAAAATGCAGACCGACAAGTTATAATCAAAACAGGAAATGAAGTTCCGCTTAAACATTATATGCAACTGAAGTGAGATCGTCTTGACAACCATGATATTTAAAAATGAAGTATTGCTATAGTATCAGTAATCCTCTTACACCATCTACCTGCAGTTGTGTTTGACATCATGGGGACGTGTCCAGGTTATACTGGAAGTCAATCTGCAGTTCTCTAACGTTGACTGATTCTGCGTTATTACTAAAGAACTGTCTTTAGACTTATTCAGAAAGAGAAGAGTGAAATTGGCGACACCGCTTTGAGTATGTACAGTGCTGTGAAAAAGTAGTTGCCCTGTCTTGTTAAATCGTGAATTAACTGTGATGAATCGAATGTTTTAGAAAGCTGAGCCAAGGGTGATATGATCAGCTGTTAGGTTTAGGGGCAATTACTTTTTCACACATTGTCAGGTAGGTTTTGGCAGCTTTTTTCCCCTAATAAATGAAATAATGTCAAAACTGCATGTTGCATTTACTTTGAAGGTCTGAAACGTGTGCAATATGCAAAAATCTACGAAATAAGGAAGAGGGCAAGTACTTTTTCACCGCGCTGTATATGCAGGTTTTCAGGACCATCTTGAGCCTTGTGAGTCATGAGATGATAACACAAAAGTTTATTACTTCTATATTATTCCCGTTATTTCTATTATTATTTGTCCTTGCACAGAAAAGCTTTGAAAC